TTTTATATTAAGAAATATAACCACCACAAGGTGTCTCGATCAATGACTTTTCAAGCACGAAAGTCTTCCAAAAGCTTGCAGTATTTAAGAAAAAGTTCTGGAGAAAAACAATTGTCTTCCAAAACAAAAATGAGCTCTCCATTTACACCAATTTATCATTCCTTCAATTGCACTCCACTTTTTCGCATTGTTTTATCTCTTACAGTTTACAAGATCCCAATGCTATGCATCATCATCATCATCAACAACAAACGTACAAATTTTAAATTTGTTACAATTCCTTCTGCTCCCCACAAATTCTCTCTACCTTTTAGTGGGTAAATTCCGGTGAGGAATTAAGGGTCAAGCGATTATAATTCCGGCGGGGAGTTGCACCGCTCGGAGCTCTTAAGATACGGGGAAATTTAATTTTATCCGGCGCGTAACCGGATCCTGTCGGTCACTTGGCCGTTTTTCCTTCCCGATACAAAGCCGATCAATTAACGACGTTGTATGGCACTCTGTGAGAATCTCCGGCCTGTTCATATATTTGTTCACAATCTCCGGCTAACACTCGGCAAATATTTGGGCAGCGCTGTCCTTCTGATCGCGGAGCGCTGGAGATCGAAAACTACCGATGGATGGGTTTTGTGTGCGCTTCCAAAAAAAATATACCAGACTGCTTTTCGTAAAATTAATATCGATAATGTTGGTGGTGTTTATGAAATCGTTTCCGCGAAGTCCATGCGGCTGTTGCTTTATTAAGACCACTATTTTCCAGTTCCTTCATTCGATTACGATCGATTAAAACGATTAAAACACCCCCTGTATCATACGCAGGTATATATTTTTAACGATATTTGCGTTCAGATAAAGGATCTAAACGGCGTCGGATCGTCTGATGGCTTCTAAAACGTCCTAATAAACTCGATGTTCAATATTTGTAAATACATTAATGATCTTCCACTGTCAATAGAAAATAGAGGAATTTTATTGATTCAAACGACTCGACGGGTTATTACATTTAATATTGGTTTCATTAGTGGCCTCATTAGGTCGTAATAATGTGCTCGTTTACGAGTGTACATGCATGGAATTATTTATTTTATTACAGCAGACAAAGGCTGCGTTAGCCTATTTGATTCACGCACATTTATTGTAAACAAAAACGAAATTGGTTATTGGATTGTTTTAATGAAACCACAACCAGATACTTTTCTATATTGGGCGTTAATAAATATTATGCGGTTTTTAGGAGTCTATAGGAAAATTATTTATTTTTTCTTCTATAATTGTTTGTTTCAAATTTGCTGGAAATTTACTCTATGCCTAATCTAGCCCTTAGTAGGCTTAATTTATATCTAATCTAGACCTCATCTAAAGACCTAATCTAAAGAAACCATTGTCCTCATCTAGACCCCACCGAATCCTCATTTAGACCTAATTTAACTTCAGTTAAACCTCATCTAGACCTCATCTAGACCTTATTTAGACCTCATTTAGACCTCATTTAGACCTCATCTAAACCTCATCTAGGCCTCATCTAGACCTACTGCCGAACATTTAAGATCTAAACAACAATCGACGAAGAATCGTGCAAGTGACCCTATAAAAAATAATCATCGCATCATCGTCGAATATTCTTCTATTAGCCGTTGTGGTAATATTGAAAAATAAGTGTAGTTAATAGTGGAGCATCACCGGTTTGGGCAGGACGTGAAATTGAAATTCGCCAAGTCAACCCCGGCCCGAACACCCGTTCTCACGATCTCTTCGTGGGCGCCTCGAGATCCCGAGACCGTCTTATGAGTCTTATCTCTTCTTCTTCTTCTTCTTCTTCTTCTTCTTCTGCTTTTCGTCGGGGCCGCGCGTTCTCCGGCGCGTTTCGCCCGTCGAAACGCCAACTCGGCGTTGCCGGGCACGGGTAGTAAGTGGCGCCATCAATCATCGCGCTACGAATACGCCCAGGGCTGTCTACTAAACAAACATGTAATTATGTATATGAACCCCTGTTTATCCCGAGCCACTATCATTATACCGCAACGGCTTGACCACCTCGATTTCTTTCGTTTTCGTATAAGCTCTTCGCTAATTCTTTCGAAGTTGTCGGTTCGAAATTACTCATTTGCTCACTTACTCGGGCGCCGGTGGTCGGGCTCGTTAAATTCGCGCCGGGGCGATTATTTTTCGCTGCATTAAAAAACTTGTCTAATTAGGGGTTGGTGCGGTATTTTTCCGGAGTACGGTCCTGGTTGGTTGGAGCGAGCATATTGCAGATCCCCGAAATGATAAATTCGCGGTTCTCTATCGAAACCCGGCTTGTATTCTACGTTTTATTAAAGTTGCTAACACGCAAACAATCAATGAACGAGCAAACGAGTACCTACTTCTTGTGCTCGAACGAAATTTCGAATCTTCCCGGGCTTTCTATTATCTATTATTGTTTTTCCGAGAGATAAGGGATTGTCTAAAGGAGGTGGGCAATAAAATTAAAAGTTTATCTAGCCATCGGAAGGTACTAACCGCAAAGGCGCGCACACACAGGTGGTACTCATCGTAATTTCTTAACCGCCTATCAAGGCATCGCCTTTATCCTTCGAACAAAAGGATGTCAGCGGCTGAATGGCATATCGGGGGGCTACCGCAATAGATGTTTTCGAAAAATGCCTCTTAATGCCCCGTAAGTACCTACATAGATCTTTGTGCTGGTTATAATGAGAAGAGACCTTCGTACAATGGGGTCGGCGCTTTTGTACGGGACAAACAAGGTTCTATTTAACGGGCTTAAAATATTTTTCAAAAAAGCTACAAGTTTGCGGTGAGGTGTCCCTTTTATTTGACCATTTCGTGTACTCGATGGAGATATTAGCGAGTTAAGGATGGGAATCGAGACCTTATAATTCCCATTACAAGGTCCAAAGATTTGTTTGTATAATAGTTTACCTGCGTATAAACAACTGATTATCTAATATTCACTAAAATGCTAATTAAACTGTCTGTTTTGAGTGACTTATCTGTTTAAATTGAAGCAATAACACAATTTTTTAATAATAATCAGTTCATAATAGATTTCCTTAATGTAGTAAGTCTTACAGTAATAATTAAAAATTTATCCAGAGCCACATAAATATAATCATTAACGAACGAAATAATGAAGCATTTTAATTTGATATACAAATTTACATTTTTTTATCGAAAACACAATTTTAAATCTACCACAATCTCTCATTGAATTGTAATTTATGTCCCAATTTAACATATATTTCTGAAGTCACACTCTATTGTTTACATTTCGAGATAATTATTATTAATAGTTATAATTTATTTCAGACTTACATGTATAAACATCTCGGCGGAGTTATCAGTAAACCTCAGCTGGAAAATATAATTATAATTAATCAAAAATTAACAAACAGATATTACGGATTTATCGCTTAAGATGTTTGTTATTTCTCACCAGCTGAATGTATGCCAATCAATTCGTAATTGTATGGTGGAGTAATAATATTCTTTATCTAATTCCGTTTGAAATACACCGAATATTCTTATCGTAATTGTTAGTAACAATGCCGAAACGACATTAAATCAATTCCCAAAAATATTCTTATCGCTCATAATTCATGTGGAATTGCTTAATTTGGTATTTAAAAAAAAATTTATACATATAGGAAATGAATAAAACACCAGTGTAAAAAAGGGGGTAGGTAATGAAAGAGTGTCATTAAGGTCAATGTAATCATAAATATTGTATAGATATTTGCGTTCTGATTAGGTATCTTTCACATGAAATCGGTATATCAATCAGTACATATTTGAGTTGTCAGTTACCCTGTTCATATTTATAAAAAAAATCAATCGTTTTTTAAAGAGTATACTTTAGGTAGTCAAAATTTTATTTTATTTATCATGAATGAAACAGTTAATTGTTAGTTTATTCGATTTCGGAAGACCGCGCAATTAAATTTCGACCAATAATTATAACGAAATAATTTTACCTACACACAACGTAATTTTAACTAATGACCTGGTTTATGAATTCATAAATACGAATAATATTGTTTGGAGGTTGGAGGTTATCTCATTGTTGTTTTAAACGAGCGCTCGCATCGTTATTTAATATTTAGGGATATAATTTCGCCGGAACGGCAATCGAATAAATTAGGATTTTATTTTTTTCGTTGCGAACAATTACCATAATTCAGTGTTAAACATAAATTTCGAGCTCGAAAAGTCGAGCGTTTTAAATATTTTAAGGGCGACGGTTTTCGTAGGTTTCCTCCAAACTACACGACAGCCGTGAAATTAATGAACGCGGCGCTACAATTAATTTTTCTCTATGACATCTTATATACGAATAACGTTATTTTATGTTTGTGTGGAATGCCGAAATAAAATTATTCATTTACATTAAGAAATCCGAATTTCGAAAGAAAACTTAATTGACGATGATTCTATTAAACTAAACATGAATCGAGCTACGCTCAAGTCGCTTTATAATAACACACATACAAGTTTTCATTTAGCATTCCTATCCTATCATCCAGCGAAAAGCCAGACATCGCGAATTCAGATCAAATCTCGTCCAATTTGCATTCCAACATAAAAATTATTCAAATTTCCCATTTATCTACCGAGGAAATCAGCCTAAAAATGCACGGCACGTCTACGTGTCGTGATTCACAGCCCTGGAAGAAAGGAAACAATCGCTATCTCCCTATTAAGATTTTTATTACCTCCAACAGTGGCTTAACACGATCCAATTTAAATTGTTCATCGGAGCCCCCTCGACGCCCTTCCGCCCTTCTCGCACATCCTCATAAACAATCGCGAGCGGTCAATTACAGAAAACTCGAAATTAATTCGCCAACCAGCATTATGGCTATATAGAAGGGGAATAAAATTTCCCGTCGAATGCTCGCACTCGATAATTTCTTTTAATTAAATTAAGAGATTCAAATTCTTACTCAAAAAATACCTGCAATCGTGTAATATTATCTAAAACTTTGTTTGCTTATTTTCAGTTGAAAGACAAAGCGGTAGAACTTCTGGTACGTAGACATTTTCTTACTATTATTAAGTTTTTGTAGTTTATAAACCGAGTAAATCATAGTTTTAGATAATATCGTACGATTCGAATTTGGTCTCCGAGAAATCCAGTAAAGAGATCATTTCACAAAAAAAACCCCGGCCTCTTATCGCGAGCCTATTTAAACGCCGTCAAAGCACGAATAGATAATAATTATTGTAGGAAACCGATGTCGTTCGAACAGATTACAAATGTCGCCGGGGTCGCGACCGACAAAAGACCATTTTTTCCCCGTTTAGCGATAAACTGGCTGTCGTAATTGCGACTGTTATTAGAATTTTTACTGGTCGCAACAATGCGAGATGATTTACTGGCCGGAGACGTTTATTAATTGATCAGACGGCATAACATTGACGTTTGTTCTCTACTTTTTTGTTTCAATAATTGTGGTAGGATCATAAAAATTGTTGGCTGTAATGATTGGATGAAGAAAATTGCAATGAAACTCTATCATTCCTTTTGGTTGATCCTACTTCTTTGGGTATATGCACCATTCGTTCGTTTTAAAGACCCAAAGAAATAGTAATCAAGGAATGATTACATTGGAACCTAAACAGAATGTAGAACAGTTTCTTACTAATTTTGTTAAAATCTACTAACTTCTAAGATAGGTAGATAGATATTCTAAAAAGTAGTGTTATTGGAAAACGGATCATTTGAAACCAGCTATAAAACTTCACAAAACGAATCCCACTCTTCCCAAGTATAACTCATAAATATGTCGACGAAATGAACAATTTTTAAACTCTTGACGAGCATGCATTCTCTAACAAAAATTAGATAGCACGTACCGGGATCAGATAAGCCCTCGATTTCCTTTCGGAGGAAAAGGCGGCGAGCCGTTCGCCTCTCGTCCCACTCCATTTTTATTCGCCGAGCGGGGAAAAAAACCGACCAAAAAATAAAAGAACCACCAACAATGGCCATTATTCGCATCATAAGCGCACACCAACCACGGACGGCCGGGGAAGACGGGAAATAAGAAGAAGACCGTACGGAGAGCTCGGACAACAAAAACAAATTATAATTAAATCCCGCGACACACACACAAACACTCGTACACACGGTCTTGATTCGACACCAGGACCGGACTAGTTATAGTTATTATCAAGGTAGAAAATTGGAAAAGTTGTGGACTATGCAAAGACTAATTAGTTGTCCATTTCTTCTTCAAAAGAGAGCCTGTAACAAAGTTGGTTTAGTACTCTAAGTATCTATCATTAGTACTATCTAGGCTCTATACTTAGTCCCAATATGACTTATTGTTAGCTCGAAGCACCAGTTTCTAAAAAGAACTATTTATAGACCCAATATTTTCTCCATTCCTAATAGTGCCTCAATTTCTCCATATTTAGTCCTATTCTGACATAGCTGAGCCCCAATTCGAGGTACTAGTGACTAAATGAAACTACTTGTAGACCCAAAAAACTGAGCTCTTGGGAGTACTGTAAATAAATCGGGGAATAAAGGGGGGTCCTGCTCTGCGGGCGCAGGTATTAATGATCGCGCCGCGGATAGCATCAGCTCGCAGTATATAAGATTGGAAAAAAGAGAGACGAGATTAATCGTGGGACGGGTGGAGAGAGTGAGAAGAGGCGTGGCTAGGTGGCGCCACCAGACGGCCGGCCAAGACGCCGAGCGCGCTTCTCCGAAATAATAATTTGATAAAGGTGAGGTTACGAACCTTGTTAATTTTATTACCGCCGGTGCTGTTGTTTTATTTATCTATTTTTTTCGGTTCGTTTTCGCCGGTTTTTTTCTCTCTCCCGGCCGTTCGTTTGCGCTTCGCTGAAAATCGCGCGCGGTGTTTGAATGTTTCACTAATGCGCGTTCGAATTGTTTTACGGCCTGTATCTAGGCAATTAAACGAATTTTTGAATTAGGAATTTTAGTGTACGTTGTTCGAATAGATGTAGATATAGGTTATAATAAAAATTTGAAATTTTAATGAATTCTGGCATATCTTTTTTTTTGTTAACGTTTAATTGATAAATGAACTGATATATTCAGGCAGTAAATACATTTTATTGCCCAACATATCTTTGGAACGATAGCATCTGAATTCTTCGGCCATAAAACCAGTAGAACTATGGAATAATCAGTTAATAATATAGGTAAATATAAATTTAAATTGGTTAGAAATGCATTATTAAATTTTATTGTTGCTCTTCCCGTTTACTCTAACATTCGTTATTAATTATAAATCATTCCTCTATCCTATAAAAAAAAGGATATTTTCCTCCCAATTTAGAGAAATTTAAGGTTGATTTATAGATAGATATAAAATAGATTGTTCGATTTAATATTAATAAAGTCGAAATTAAGTGTACAAAGGACGGTCTGGTACCTCAAATATTCGTCGATGTCTGGCCGGATTCCCGAAATCCGGCAAAAAATTCTGTCGTTTCGTCGTGTGCAATAAATCATCCCCGGAAAATCACGACAGTATTTAATAATTGCGAATGTCGTGTCATCGGTACATCGAATTTTAAATTACTGTCACTCCGAGGCCGCGCTTCATTCTACTATTTTGTCTTTTTGTAATTTTATTAGTGTTTTTTAATCAAAAATTAAATGGTTACTTTGGAAGATAAACGACAATGCGGGGTTATAATTTATTGCTTTTTAGAATGCCCATCAAACAATTCGTGATGGATGCAATTTATATATGAAAAAAAAATGACCAAATTAAGACGCGTTCGATAATTGCGACCTTCCTACCAATGGCTTCCGAATTTGAGGAATAATTTACGTCTGTATATCAACCGGATCTCGTTCGAAGCCTTCTTTAGGAATAAAACTCGCCTCTATTCCTTATACAATCTTTACATTTAATCCCGCATTTGATTAGGATTTCCGCGACTCGTCCGCGTACAAATTACACCTAAATCGACATTCATTATGTTCCCGAGTCATTTTCGAATTCTTCGCAACGGTCGGCGCTCAAATGAGCGCCCATTTTGTATCATTCAATATTACAACGTATAATTATGATTGGTGTTAACTAGCTGACGGGAAAAAATACGAAAAAATCGCTGTGTGTGTGTGTACGTTTCTTTTCAACACGGTATGCCGTAATTGCGTTTCTTCGATGCTCACTTAACATTTAGTTTCTGTAACATGCGATCTGTTTAGAGGCGATTGAACCCGTTTTAGACGGTTAAAATCGTTCGATTTGCGGGGACATGTTTAATAGAAAAAAATGTTACCAAGATTTTTTTTTTCTAATACGTTCGGCCGTTTTCGCACCTGTCCCGTAATTGCGGTATCAAAATATTTTCGTCTTATATGGGTTTTTAATAGTCGGCTATTATCTTACATCAAGCTAATTATACAGGTGTTTTAATATTAATACATTTAAAATGATAGATCACTGTGTTTATTTAACGCTAGAATGTATGAGGGTTGGTGAAGATGTTCATATCATTATATCCGTCAATCATTTCTTTCACTATGCATAACTCGTCTATGCCTCGTGTTGTAAACTTATAGTAAATAATAGCTATTGTTTTGAATAATAAATATACTGTTATATTTTATATCCCTCATATGAGACAATAACAGGCGTTTCATACGAAAATAACAAATTGTAAACGCATGAAAAATTAATATAGATAAACTTTTAAACTTCAAAGACACCTGTTCGAGACGAAACCATCAATTACCACCCCGTTATTGTTGTTTAGAGTTAGTTTAATTCGACTTCCAACTCTTTAATGACTTGTTAATTTATATAATTGCTATGGTAATTAGATAACCATTCGAAAGTTAACCGTCGTTAATAACAATAATTATTCGATTACGGCTCGAGCATTGTTCGGAAGGAGCTCGGATTAAAATTAAAATGGCATTTGGAGATTCGATTACGGCCGGTGGGCGGACGAATTGCGGGCATCGTTAGAAAGTTCACATACAAAGATTTCGTAGTTTTTCTCTACAGGGAAGGATAACAAGCATTGGGTCAAATTGTCGCAAAAAAACTAACATAGTTTGAATATACTAAACACCCCGCGTATATCCTGTAATCCTGTAAGACCTACAGTTGTATACACACACCGTCAGGGACGATCCCAATATGCTATAATCAAATTAAAGGCTTTAGTTCCTAATCCATCGCGTTCGACAGTGATATACAGAAACAAGCAGATTAACACCACTGCAGAATATTAAATTCGCCGTATTTTACTAATATTTCAGAAAATAATAGAGTCCGTTCCTGTTAATCAGGATACCTACGTAAACGTCACCGATCGGCCGCATTAACATTATTATCGTTTCGAAAAAGTTTCGAAAAAGATAAACGGACCTAATTGCGGTTCGGAATCAAAAAGGTCCATCGGAGCAGCGCCTTTATAATACATACAGGCGGGTTTTATTCCAGCGACAGAAACAGAACACGTTGTCGTTATCCTTAATTAGCAGATATCGGATGATACCGGCCGAGATTCGAACGAATCCAAGCCGTTAAAACAGTCGTCGCTGTTATACCGACGACGATCCTCTTGCGTTTTATCCTTTTCGTTTTGTTTCGCGACCGAAGGTAGTACCGCGGCGCCATTAAAATACAATACAAGACGATACCCGCTCCGGCCTCAACCGAATTTTTGATTCCTCCTTTATTTATTACAACATTTTGGTACCACCAGTATACAAAGCGACTATAATAATTGCACTTATTGATGGTATTGGAATTCCTGCGGTATCTCCTCTACCTCTGCTGGTGGTTTGTATAAGTAGCTCATCACAAAAGAGAGCCGCCGAAAGAAATGATGTAACTTTTCGACACTCTTTAAGTACTCTATTATCAGCGGAGTGGTTCGTCTGCGGGTTAAAAGCGGACCAGCGGGCCATGAGAAGGAGCCGGCGGTTTCCGATGGAAAGAGCGAGGATCGGCTCGTCTCGAGCCGCTGGATTCTTATCTGAAACGGTAGCGCTGGAAGATTCCACATCTCTTTAATGTGAAATTGGTGTCTTTTAGTAACAAGCACGGGCGATAGATGGCCACCCAGGCGCTGCCGATACGGCCTTTAATGGGTTAGTTTTTAAAAAGGAGGAATTTCCTTGGGAATGCCGCCGCGGCGAGAGAGCGGCTATATCTCGACGAAATTGAAATTTGAAAAATCGTAATGGCACGACGCGTTCTCGGAAATTTTTAACCGACGATGGTATTTTACTTTGTGTCGCTTCTTCCTAGTTTCGCCGATCTCGAAATTCTCCCTACTTTTACCGAGAAGAAATATCAAATATTTTTGTTGAAATAAATTTCAAATTTGTACGTCAACGAGCTTTATCATCGTGAAACGTCCTCGTATAATTATAATATCAACGCCGCCCTACAATTACTCGTAAGTGCTATTTTACTAATAATAGTAATAAAATAATATTGGATACTGTTGCGTTATTAGCGTCAGGAAAATTATATCATAAGTAGCATCATTGGATATGTACAAACGATTCTATATAATTGATAAATAATTTACCTTATATACTATAATTATGTAGAAAAACGGTAATATTAATAATAGAAACGAACAAAATTTCATATTAAAAATATTGTACCCACCTACTATACAAATTATTATTAATTACAAATATTATGCATCCTATTAAAGACCTTTCGAGTAACAATTTCAGAAAAAATGAACTAGTATTTTACAAATTTGCATAGATAGGTGCTTTATTTACCACCCATATCCTTTCAGCTCGATCACTATTAGTTGAAAACAATAACATCTGATTATAGAAAACAAGCTTTTACATATTTTTCGAATAACAACAGCGTACCTACGTGGTACCAACGAGAACTGGTTCTGCGGTACCAACTTATACCATCGATAATGATTTGTTGCCAACGTTATAAAACGTCTCTGTGTGGTCCGAAACCGCTAACTACGATTCGAACGCACACCGTGCACCGATATTTAAATATGAAAAAGTTACCTTCTTTTTGGATTGCGCCGCTATTACGAATCGAATTAGCGCCGATTATCGCGATCATTTCGAAGGATTAAATAGTTTGCGAACAACCCTCGTAATTACAAACGTTTCTAATACATAAATCATCGAGCAGATATCGTTTCGAAATACGCATATACACGTCGGCACATCAAAAACCAACAGGATATTATAACGTGAATTCAAATGCGAAAATTATTCATTTTCCAGTATCAAATAAGCCCGAAACGCAACCGACGAGACTTGATAATTATTTTCCCGAGAGCGGAATTATATATTTAATATTTTGCACCTCACACCGTGAGTGGATCCATTATGAATTTACTTACACGCAGAAAAATACCTTCACCTTCTCCAAATTATATTTTAAATTTAAGATACAATACTTCGTCGTTTCTCCCTAGTTTTACCCATCTAAAAATTCTCCCTACCTTTATACGAATTTCAAAATTCCTCGATATCAACGAAGTGCGGTCATAGTTGTGTAACAAACGATTTTTCTCGGTGTAAAATCCGCGATGCGAGATTGTGGGATTCTCGAATGATATTTATGGACTATATGGAGCGTCGTTAGTCCGTTCGCTTCGTTAATTTAAACCGAGTTTTTCCACGGTTTAGATCGGTTCGAGGCAGTCCAATCGAAATGTATCATCGATCGATATTACACGTACGCGATACGTGTCGGTTAATACGCTGATAAGTTCGAGTAAACGTGGTGCTTTGATGGTACCGCCCATGAATACATTTGCACTCTTATGAAAAATTAATATCTAATTTCGAAGCAGAAAAAATAAACGCGGATTTATTATAAACCTAAAAGGGTGGAATTATATCTCGAGACTCGGTAAATTACATATCGCTTCGACCGTGACATCTATTTTATGCTAATCGTCGGTCTATTTTATGGGGTTTTTAATTAGAACGTCGACCGGTAGCTGGTCCGGGTGAGATCTAACAAAATGCTCCGTCTCCGTCGAAATTAATTACCCATTTTCACCAAAATTAAATGGAAAACGGCTCTCTAACAACTAGAACTAACTCATAAAGATTCTTTTGATCGTCGCCCGTACAGTTAAACGGTTTTTTAAACACATTTTTATGCAAAACCCGCCGAGTACTAATACATTGAATTATATAGAAGTGGCTGTAAGAAATCAGTCACATCTCTGGCCTATATCGAGCAGGAATAATTCCCTAATAGGTTTCTAATCGCAAACAGATATTCCTCCCGTCGAAATGCCGCCCTAGCGGCGTACTTGGGGCATCACCCCGAGCCCCTAAAAAGCGGCGACGCGTCCCCCGCGCGCCCCCCGACGATTCGATCCCTTCGCCTCGTCGGTCTAAATAACCGCACCGGAAGCAAAGACATCGATCCCGCGCTCTTCCTCGCTTCCTTCTAACGCGCCCTCTGGAGCGCCGGATTCGGGGCACCGCGGCTACGGGGGCGCTGCGAATGTGTGTATATACGAGGGAATATCTCTCGGATGCATGAAAAGCGAGCGCGGAAATTTCATTCAAATTTATTCGGACACCTGATCCGATGGCACAACAACAAACGGAATTGCAAATGTTTCGCCATTTACATGAAATGTGAAATGTTTATTTTTAGCGGTGCGCCTGCCGGGTAAAAGGCGTATGTATATCGATTATAATCGAGATCTAGTTGGATGGTTTTTTTTTCTTGCGAACGGGAATTTATATTTTATTTTTTTAATACGCCGAGCGGTTTTTTTTGTCGTGTTTGTGTATACGTAAATAATTTCCTAATGCCTCAATTCTTGAAGCAGAGCTGTGGTATCAAAGCGGCAATAAAACATCCTTTTGTATTGCCCAACATTTCCATAAATACTTTTTGTGTATACGAACGCGCCGCGTTGAACAATTCTTGTAAACAATTTGAATATTCTAATAAACGTTAGTTACCCATTCAAAGTTGTAATTTTATGTAAATGATATTTCCACACTTGACTCTTTAATTTAACACCTGTCAATGCGTTTATGAGAAAGGACGTAGAAAGTGGATAATGTATTTCAACATTTTCTCGTCCCGCCTGAAACGATTATTATTATTATTAAAAGCGAGCGCGTTTTCCAGGCGTGTTTTTTTATTGGCAAAATTTGATTAGATTGCGACTAATTAGCGAACATTCGTCGCAATAATCAGAGTAGCTCTAATGAAGTTTCTCACATATGTCTCACTTAATTACGACCTAATTAAGGCATCAACCGGCCGACAGTAATACGCCTATCTTTTCTTAATTCAAAGACACATAAAACTACTAATAAATCTTTACGATTTTTAATTAATAATAAGTGATAATAATAAAGTATAAGCCATTCCGATGTGTGCAATTATTATTTACTGATGCCGTTGAGAAAGTGGTTTAATTAGATTTTTTTTCTTGTTGTTACAGACGATATTGAACTCCATGCACAAATACCAACCCAGGTTTCACTTAGTTAGGGCCAACGATATTTTGAAACTTCCTTATTCGACGTTTCGGACGTACGTCTTCAAGGAAACCGAATTTATAGCAGTGACAGCGTACCAAAACGAGAAGGTGAGTAAAACTATTTATGCATTTCTGCAACCAATTACGCTTCGAAATTGTGATTGATTATTCTAACGCTTCGCCGAGACGTTTGCATTTGTTCATAATTATTGGCAATCGTTTAATGTCCAATTTATCTAATAATACTAATGGAATAGGATTTTATTTGTACCGTATACGGTCGAGTTAATTGTGGTAATTTATGTCAGTATTTAAAAGCAACTTAATTGAATCGAATATTATAGGTGTAATTGAAATTTCATCGTTAATAATACGAATTCGTCACTTTTTCTAATCTATTTAGTATGCGGCGAAGCCGGCCGAGCGAAAGAAACCATTACACATCGAAATAAATGCAATAAACGTGTCTAAAAGTGTCCTCATGTAAACGACTTAATCAACATGGAAGCCACGAATTGGTTGATAAGAAAATTGCGCCAATGGTATTGTAAAATCCTTATCGGCCCCGGCTTTAAGTACTGCCTCATTGATATGTTCGCAATTCGTCGAATAGAAACAAGATAATCGAAACGAAAAAAAAAATACACGCGCATTGCGAAATGAATGTTTTGCATAAAAAACGCGACGCTAAACCAGAAGGGAATATTTCGAGTTAATTCGCGCGATAACGTTTCTATAATAAACTATTATCAAACGGTCCCGTCGATAATCAATTAAAACCGTTACGTAATCCCGACAAGCTTTATTACACCTATAACTGAAAAATTATTAATAAATGCAGCAATAGATATTGACAAACAATTACGATTTAATAATAACAGTTTCGATTTCTCGAACACGCCCTACCATATCCAAACGATAAATCTATAATGGCAACTCTCGATTTACTCAATGCGATATCAAAAAATTACAACAATTATCAACATTTTACATTTTATTATTTTCATTCTAACATCGCGCCTTTACTGGCATAGAGACTAATCCAGCTCGTTTCATCATCGCTTTTACCGGATTCTTCAAACAAATACATTTCTCAGACGAATTGCATCACAACCGACTCGTAAAATTCTCACATCTTTATTAATAACGATAAACGATGGTGATAGGATTCGATATAAAAAAATACCCGATGATTAGCAACGATCCTCGGTTAATTATCGGATCGTTGATTTAAATTATGGAACTGGCATTCTTCCAGTGACTATAAAAGCGAAAACGCGATCGTTAGTGGCCGATTGTTTTTAACAATTTTTTATGCGAAGAGGTGCAAGCCGTGTAGTGGAAGAGATATAATAACAGTAACGATTTCTCGGGAACGAAACAGTCGATTGAATCGAATTAAACCGAAGACTATAGATAGTAACTGAGCTAAAATGTAAAAACGTGTTAACGATGATTTATGTCCTTTAGAGCATTAACGGGTAAATTTTCATTCGTCTTACGAAAAATAAATCGCGATTATTCAATTTTATAGGCGATTTGAACGAGCGCGCGTTACATAAAATTAGGAGAAACGCCGGGGAAAAAAAAACCAGTTGACATCGTTTTAATCGCCGGATTCCGAGAATGTCGCCTTTTTATTTCAATTTAGACCTCATCTAATTATAACAACCGTTCTCTCACCAAGGCGGCGGCGGCCTTTTGTCTTGACAAATCTGCCTTTTAATTCTCAGAAGTGGAGGAATTAATAGGTGGTGGTGCGTCTCATTTCTGGGAGGCGAATGCCGGGCGTTTTTTCGGGGGAATATTCGGAATTCCCGGTGCGTTTGGCTACCGACTTTCTCGAAATCGCCGATGGAATCTCCCGATAGCATCCAAGCTAAATAAATAGCTGGGATTTTGTGGAAGGACCGGCGTTCGATTTTTCATCCACTTCGAATTAATTTAGATGATTAAGTTACACAGTAAAGTGCAGAGGAAATAATAATTGTGTTGTTTGTTGCAGATAACTCAACTGAAAATCGACAATAACCCTTTCGCCAAAGGATTTCGAGATACGGGTGCCGGGAAACGAGAAAAAAAGTAAGTATTTAATGTTGTACTACTTTTAAGCTCTATAATAATAAGCTTAAACTAAAATTTATTCGAATAAAACCTCCGGGAACAATTCCTTGTGATTTTAATCCAATCGGCCTTTCCACCCCCTAAAGAAAAACCGACGAGAAATAAAACTAATCCCCTTTTAAAACGCCAAACAGTTGGTCCACTAATGTATGCATATCACTTACTGTAAATGCAAATTCGATACACCCACTACGCGTACCGGCGCAAAGCGGAAAGTTCGACGGGGTAGCTTTCACCCTTTTTGACCTTCTGCAAATGCCACCGCTAATTCGATAGTGTTAAGCCTTATTGTCGCCCTCCGCGTCTTTATTCCGGCTCGCCTTTTAATTTAAACTTCGCCCCGCCGGGAGGAAAGAACTTTCCAGTCGCGCGGAAGCCGGAATATTTTATAAACTCGCCCCGAACACGCCGCAAAGTTGCTCGCAATATGTTCAATTTCACCCTGCTTGGGCTCCATTATTAACCTCCCGAAGTCTACCGAACGATACAATTTATCATCACAAACATTTAAGAAAATTTAAGAAAAAATTGTGCATATTTTCCAACAGTTTAATATCAATTTTCACTCCTTTCAACCCGGATTTCGAAGTCGAGACGGTACAGGATCCGCAAGAGTTTCTGTCCGGTTGCGGTTGCGATATACTCGAAAAGGTTGCCGTACTATAATTATCGCAGTATAGTCGGTCAATTAAACCCCGTTACAATTCGACCGGATCGCCACCCTTTGTTCGACCCTCCCCCGACGTTGCATCGCGATTGTCGAGGACACCCTCGGCTCGATTTCTGCCGGAGACGTATCAATTGCCTCAAGAAGGACCAGTGTCGTGGACATTTTTTCCAATGTACTCGACTGTTTATAGCGAAATGTACAGGGTGTTGATTAATAAGCGCGACAAACTTCGGGGGGCGATTCTGCATGAAGAAATAATGATATTTTGCTGTATAAATGTATGTCTGCAAATGCTTCGTTTTCGAGATATGGGGTGTTAAAGTTTCTTCTTAAAAACTTATTGAAGATTTATTTATTTTTCTGTAACCAGACGAGATATTCAAATGAAATTTGGTGGGTTTTGAGAGGTGACTATTACGCTTTTTTTGACATATAGAAGTAAAATTTTTATGAAAAACTGCTGCGCCTATGGCGTCCATCTAGTAGATAAGAAAGCGAATAGGGGAGGTTGTAAAGGTCCCGTCCTATAATCAATTAACAGAGGTTAAATTGTCGCTGGTAGTTCGAACGCGGCCGTATCTCCATCTAAAAAACTCGACGGGAGAAATCCATCAAGCCAGCGATTAGCGGATGAGTCGAAAATCTTACTTGACGTCAAATTTAATAATTTTATTCTCTCTATTGTTACAGGCAGGCCATGCTAGCGCAGAGGCATACGGACGATAAAACCACGCATCCGCTACCAGCTCGCATGTCCGCCGACAGTAGTACCGTTTCCAAGACGGACGATTCGGAATTGGACGTGGTGGGTACTGCGGACAGTCCCAGACCTTCGTTACATTCTTCTACACCAATCGCCTCGTCTTTGAATCAAACTGGTAAGTCGATTTTCGCGCGGAGAATAGCGCCAGTTCCATATGGAGATGTATAAGAGTATTTCTTGAATCGTTCCAGGTGCAGAAGAAGATTCGATCCGAAGGCGCCTCCACGAAGATTCCGGTTCGGAGAGCAGCTGTTCGGAGTCGCCGGGCAGCACGGCGTTCCGACCGAGACCGGCGTCGTCGCCCAAAGAATCGCCGGCGGGCCCGTCGAACCCGTCGGGCGAGTACCCGTCGCCCAACATCAGCGTCGGGCCGCCCATCCACCCGCCGCCGCACCTGCTGCCGTACCTCTACCCGCCGGGCATGTACCCGGGCGCCGGCCACTCGCCGTTCGGGCCGCCGCTGAGCCTCTTCGCCGGCGCCCACGGGCCCGGCATGAACCCCGGGCTGCTGTTCAACGCGCAGCTGGCGCTGGCCGCCCAGCATCCGGCGCTCTTTTCGCACTACCAGAACCTGACGCACGCCGGCCCGCACGGGCACCACCTGTCGCCCACGTCGCCCATCCACGGCCACCTGAAGGGCGGGCACCGGTTCGCGCCGTACGCGCTGCCCAATTCGGGCGGCGGCGGCGGCGGGGTGAGCTCGTCGCCGTTGGGCAGCGCGTTCGAGACGGTGACGCCCGGGTCGCATACGCGGAGCTTGAGCAACTCGCCGTCGGGGAGGGCGCGGAGCGGGTCGGCGTCGCCGCCGGCGCCGGCGCCGGCGCGGCCGGGCTCGGCGTCGCCCAAGCCGGAGACGGCCGGGTCGCCGAGCGATTTGAAGAGCATCGAGAAGATGGTGAACGGGTTGGACGTGAAGCACGAAGACAATGAAAAGTAGTAGATTTTCTTTTTTATTATTATTATTTTCGATTCAAAGCGTACTGTTTTAAAAACCGTACTGTTGATTTTTTTACTGGTTCCAGAATGGTTACCTCTAAGATGGAAAATAGTTTAAAATTTTTTTTACGATTTTATCTATTGAATGTTTTCTTATTAATTACAGAGAATCAATCAACTACTTACAATACCTTCGTTATCGACTAAGAAGTTGCCATCCATTCTATGAAATCCACTGAATTTAAATTTCATCATAAAACTATTTGCTATCTTATACGCACATTGCTTTTTACAATTTTTTTTGCATTCGTTGACACCGCACTATAAATTTACCTAAATTCGTATCCTCTTTAGTGCCAAAATTCTTACCAAATTTCAGTTCTTCTACCACTATGTCTTCGAACGCAAGAAAAGTAGAACGATTTTGGAACCAATTTTCAATTGAACCGTTACATTTCGCATGATAGATGTAAAGATAGTGGACCTGTGATAGAACCTTGTGGAATTCAATTTTTTGCACTGTCACAATTGACGATTCAATTGAACTGGATCACGCGAGTGATTTTTAAAAAGGGCCTTCGCACAAAAGATTTACTCCCAACTCTAACGGTATTCAATTTCACAACCAAATTTCTCTTACTGTTATAAGAAATTTTAAATACATTTCTTGTAAGTGTATTTTTTATTTCGTTATAAATTGTACGAGGGAAAAATTCAATTCACTTGCGCGATCTATAATATTTATTGTGAGGGTAATAGTGATCTCAAATAAATTTTTGAGTGACCGGTTTTCTAAACGTTTGGGATGTTTTTGCAATAAAGAATAGCTCATGAAAACTGTTTCCTAATGGATAAATTAAAAATTGGCATTTTTAATTTTTTGCTACGAAGGATTTGAAGTGTTGTAAGGATCACTTTGAATTTGAAAAAAAAGTGCTTTTCCTACAAGCTTATTGAGTACAAATTACATTTATACGTGTATTTTGTGGAAGAAAAAATATTAGGAGATTATGCAATTTTTAGTTTATTTTTTATTGGTGCTGCTATTTTTAGTTTTTTATTTGGGCACTAAAAGTTATATGATTTCTTGTTAAAGGGCGATTTACATTTTTTACTTACTACGTGTTTTCATCAATTGCCTAGGTCAATTATTTTGTGCTCTGTAAGTTTTTGTAAGAAAAAATTGTAAATCACCCGTTTGACAAAATAATGTGCGTTTAAAATGAAAACTGTTTTAAACACATTATTGCTTTTAAAAATAATTTAAATTTAATTTTTCCTTAGTTTATGATTTTTAGTGCCATTTTCATAGTGATTTTTTAGACTGTATCCACATAAAAATCGTACGAATAAATAAATATATTATATACATAGTTTGTTCCTCTTTTTAATTTTTACAATTTGTATATATTCTTGTAAACAATAAAAATTGTATATAATTGTTTTCTTTTTGTGTAAATTGTATAATAATAATAATTGTATATGAATATTAGAAATATGAAAAAAATTGTTTATAAAAGTCCTTCCGGAAATTTCATTAATATTGCGCCAAGCTCAATTAATTAAAATTATTGCTGAAATTAGTAAATTCGAGACCTATTTAAAAATCACTTCCCTTTATTAATGCAGTTTCCTGAAGGTTCACATTTTAGCTCACTAAAACAAAAACAAAAAAATACGGTGATTTTTTGCAATTTTTAAAAGCAATTCGTAGAAAATTTTTTTATTGTATATACCTTCGAAACGGACGGAAATCACTTTTCCCCTGTATAAACAAATATGCTTTATGTTGAATTTGTCTGGTATCAGTAGATGCGGATTTATTTTATTTATTATTTACGGAACCTAATTTGTTTACTGCTACCAAACAATCTATAATATTCAGAGTAGAAAATGTGAAGTGTCTTGTGTACATGTTTAATTTAAGGAATAAAATATTCATATGAACTTATTTCCGAATTTCATTTCACTTTCCCTTCGGCATACGCCCTATGAGTTAATAATAATTCAATCAGTCACCATCATGCTAATTTCAAAAAACAAAATAAATTCGAAGCTCGTTTTTTACGCTTAATTGCGTCCAGGAAGTCTTCACTCACCGGCACATTAAAAAATATGCAAAACAAGTCGAAATGTTCTGGAGCCATAAAGAAAAATTAAAAACAACTTAACGTAAATCCATCGTACATTCAACGGACCCTCGTTACTTACGCGGTAATTTTATATTCATAATAAATCAGCTGTTTCGTGAGAGTAAATCAGAACAAAAACCGTATGTAAATGAGCCTCACAGTGCACAGAATGTGTCAATAAAGCGGAATAATTAGAAGAAAAAAAATAGTAATTCCTAGTAAGAATTTAATTTCGAATTTACTCGAGCAAATAACAAGATATTGTGCTACAAAAGTGCAGCTATTTTTATGAAATAAATCATTATTGAGTACCCTCAACAGATCCACGTAAATTACTCAATTCGCGACGACCTCTCGTATCGATGCGTTCGGATTAAACGCTTTATAATTTATAATAGATATTTGCTGTTAGATACACGTAATGGTTTAGCGCTGTCCTTGCATTGTTCGCCAAGATTTACGATCGCATTGAGTTTGTGTTTCAACTCAACAAACAAACCTTCGCTCCGTAAAAAAAATCCATCTCGCACTTATGACCGTTCGACGCCTCTTATTTTCCGGCCTTATACGTTAAAATAACGTTACGCTACTCCGACACGTGAGCACACATACACACACACATTCGCCGAAAAACCCCTCCAGTTAATAGCCAGAAATAGCGTAACGTTATGCTTTACGTAGCTACGCTAAAACCTCGTCGCAATTAAGCGACGTTTCTGCGTATACCCTCGTTCGAGCGAGGATGTCAATAAAACGTAATTTACTAACATTAATCAAATCTCCGAATGAGCCGAACGCGCTCGAGCTAAGAGCCCCCTTTTTTTTTTCGACATAGGCGGCGCTCCGCGCGCTTTATCATACGTTAAATTGCGTGTAACGGAAAAATATCGTCGCTTTCGTCTCGGGCGTGCATAAAGGACCACACTGTGAGGACGCAATAAAATAATGTCACGCTCGGGCGGTCGCCCGAAGACGCTTTGCCTCGTTTTAATAAAGCTAATACTACGTTATTACTTGTGTTTTCCTCCTCTCCTTGACGGATTTATTTCTGCGACTGTTCCGATGACGAGGAGATCGATAAATGTATACCATTGTTGGACCAAGTTTTCCATATGCATAAAAATTGGTTTGTTTTACGAGATGTTAAAGGCCAACGTTGGTTGAATGTTCGATTTTTGACGTTTAAAAGTAAGGTTAGAATGTTTTGACGTTAGTTGCCTTTGATGCATTCGGTTATTCAGTTCCAAAAAAGTTGTAAATATTCTTCAAGGAGTTGGAAATGGTTCAGGAGTTTTCTAATTGATCGTAGACCTAGTAGTTCCAAATAGTCCTGAATCTGTTCTAAATGATTTTATATGGTTCTAAGATTATCCTGCATTGTTTCAAATAGTTTTCAAATGGTCCTCCAAATGGTTCTCAGGATCAAGTGATCCCGAACAATGAAGTTTTTCTCTTCATCTCTAGCGCTACTGCAACCTTTTGTTCCAAAACAAATTCAAAGAGTTGGAAATGGTTCTGGAGTTTACTAATTGATCTTAGAGCGTTCCAGATAGTCCTGAATCTGTTCTAAATGATTTTGCACAGTTCTAACATTATCCTGCATTGTTGCAAATGGTCTTCAAATGGTCCTCCAATTGGTACCTCCAAATGATCCTAAACAATTTGAAAAGATGAGCCTGAAAAGCTTCTCTTTCCATCTCTAGTGATATTGTTAAATGGTCAGATACCTTTTGTCTTTCTCGTACTCCTGTTACATCTATATCTACATCGCCGGGGACCGACAGGGTATAATATAGACACCAATAAGCCGTATTATGATCGAAATAAAATAAGTATTGTATTGGCCACCCAGTTCACCGGCCGTCCATAATTCAGATGGCCGGTAATCGGTTCGTTCAATACCAATAAATTTCAACAATGCACACATACCGGGCGATAATCTCGGCGAGCGCAGGAAATTTTCCCGCAACATAAACAAATCAGCTCGTCCGCTCCGCAGCTTCCTTTCCCTCTTCGCCGTCGTCGAAGAGGAGAAGAAAAAGAAGGCAAAAGGACGACGCGAAATTACCTATCAAGGCCGGCCCGCGTTTGCCCAACAATTTATTCTAAGTAAACTAATTGCGATGTAAAGTCGGCTTTTTGATTTCGCCGCGCGCCCAGCCGGCCAGGCGATTCCTCGCCGACGCCGGTTCTTCGCCGGCCGCGCCGGGAATAATCGCCTGGTCCATCGATAGCGGTTCTCGGAAACTGTTGGACTTAAACTAATTATACCGCTACCGTGTTGGTTGGACGGTAGGAACGTTTCGTTACTCCTTTTGTTTAACTTCTACTGTCGTTTTTAAGTGCTACCGATATTAAATACCGCCGTGTACCGGTACCTACGCGCGTTTTCCTTCAGTATCTATGCAAATATCAGCCTCTCTTTGGTGGTTCAATTCTCTACTCTCTACCTTAATCTACTCTACCTAGCATTGTGTACCTAGCAAATAGTGTTTACCAATAACCATCATATAAGATTTTAATTGAGCCAATGTGGGGAATCAAGGAGCCCGAACGGGCCTAAAGCCGATCGACCTGCCGGTTATAAATCACACTCTTATAGATACCTAACTAATTGCCGCCGTTGCCTACCGCAAAGTAATTATTCATTAATTGACTTTCATGCTCGACAATGTTCTTATCCTCGGCTAGAGAGGTCCTTTGAGGGCGCGCCGCCGCGAGATGGATCGGTTTTTAACCAGCCAAACGCGAATGCTAAATTAACGGTGCATCGGAACTGACTAATGGATGAAAATGGATCGTTAAATCGGGTCGAAATCGATTCGATTTTCATCGATTGGTCGAGGGAAATGGTGCAATAGATTGGATAATATTAGTCGTGGAATCTATTGAAATCAACTCATTTTGTAATGACTATATAGACTCGAAAGAAGCATCAGTATTTGCACGAAACTTTGATCAAGATCTAACAGTAGGTCTAGATTAGCTCTAGTATAGTTCTAGAAAACTCATAACTATAGTTAATAGAGAATAATAGAGATACATGGAACCCATCATAGAGGTGCTGGGTCCGCCCCTGATATAAATATTTCGAGCCCCGGTGTGTGTGTGTGTGTGTATAGGTTATACCTTGTAATCTAGGAGTTGAAGAGTGAGGTGATGCAAGCCGAAGGACTTTTGGCGTCCGATGTGGTTTCTGTCAAAGGCACCAAGAAAGAAAAAAACAATCGCGGGAGGACGCCCCGAGGGGCCGATCAGCGGGAGCCGATTCTTCGGCTGTCACCGGTGTGCGCTATGCACTTGTTTTCTGCTATCAATCTTGCCGCTATCGACGACTAGATCTACTAGAAGTCGAAGCGGACACTGAGGGATGAGTTAGGAGGAATACCTGGCCGGTCGAATTTTAATGGAATTTCAAAGAAATATTACGGGATCGTTATTGTGAATTATTGTCGTTGTAAATATTAGATAAGGTCAAGTGTTTTCGGGCGATTTTTCTGGGAAAAACACTTTTTAGGGATCCCATTTGTGGCAATTAAATTATAAATAATTTATAAAGTCGCCGAACCGTTATAAATATAAATAAGATAACTATATAGTGAAAAATTATTCATCCGACGTAAATAAAACAATAAAAAGTATTGCGTGTGCGGAGAGCAAAATGAATAAAATACGATTTAATTAAAGTCAGAAATAAATTCATGTATACGCTATATATACCATAATTAATTATTCAAAAGCTAAATGCCTATACCAACAAAACGTTAGTGTAAATTGAAACGCTGTATGTACAATGTGTTTTCACATTAGGTGTATTACGCCCATAAATTAAATAAATAAATACGTATTAGAATATAAAATGTTGCATGCACCGCGCTCCCATTAAAACCTCCAATAAAGCCCATAAAATACGAGAAACTGCCTCGATACGCCTATGAAGAATATTAACAACAGTTTACCCGATACATTTTCGAGGCACGTCAGGGAATTTCGGAAAAAAAAACCTACCCGAAAGGGCGTTAGGCTTATTAATGTCTAGACTCAGAATTTGGCGTTTGTCTCTCCGGCAGAGACTATTGTTTTAGATGCATCGACCCGAGCCAGTGTCAACTTGGTTTATGATTTTGGGGATTTTTATTAGTTTTTCGGCGTGCCCGGACAGGTAGGCGTTTTCGGATAGTCATTAAAATAAACGAAAGGAACGCATCGGAGGGTTTTTACGACACGAAAATTGTGTACAGATCCTTGTCTGCAAAAATTTTAGCGCCGCCGATAAGCCTTAATAGGTCCTCGACCAAAGCTTCCGCCAAAAACCGAAATGGTGCAATAAATATTTAGCCACTCCGCTAAATAATCGAATAAGAATTATGAATTAATTATCGACGAGTGCGATGCGGAGCTCAATCGGATTTTCGCTCCGCGTGAGGCGATCTAACGAAGCAAAAATTTCGGATTGCATCAAAATTTCCGCCGGCCCACCCCCCAACAAACTGAACCATCGCTAAATTAATAGCCGACAAATAATAGCCGAGAATATGAATCTCGCAGCGGGTGTCCGGGAATCGGGCGTCAAATGGTCCAGAAGCGACGAAGGGACGCGAATTTTCCTTCCAGGGACGGCGAAACCGCTTTATTGTACAAATTTTTTTCAACGTTAAACTGTCAACGTACACTGTCAGTTATTTGATTAGTGAGTTTTAAACTGTCAACGATGACGTTTGAGGTATATGTAAAAATAACGTAAACGCTATATTTTTACGTTTCTAGCAGAAAAATGGGAATGTTGAGAGAATATTGCGACTTCACTGATCGTAAATGCGGCCCATTTAACCCATCTTGACGCCCTAACTTTAGCGCTCGCTAAAATTTCCGCGACAAACAAGTCTTTAGAAGAAAAAAAAAATAATAACTAGAATTGTACTCGAAAAGCGTTATATCGTGATTCAGGATTCTCAGGAACTACGTACTTTATATGAGCCCTCTCGATACAGGGTGTCGCAAAAATGTCGTTTTTATTTTTAACTAACTCTTTTGCTGCATAATTCTATAGTTATAAGACATGTATCACAACATTTTTGCGACGCCCTGTATAAAATTACGAACATCAAATCTTATCTAGTGTTTACGAAAATAAATTTCTGCATGTATGCATGCACGATAAATAGTTAGGAGTATCTAGTGCACCCCAAGGGACAAATTGTTATTGACCGCCGATTCCGGGGATTCGGGAAAACCGTTGGGGAGGAAGATACATCGAAGGGGTTCCGCGATTGCGATAAAACCGCGCCGAACGAGGGCGAATCGTGCGCCCGAAAAATCGCCGCGGATTCGAGATCGGTTTATAGCGAAAGCGTTATCTGTAGAAAAATTATCCGCGTATTTGTTAAAGGCGGTTCGCCTACGATAAAACAAAAACCGTGTAACTGAATAACTGCCGCGTCGAGTCCAATGCAAATGCGCATTCGAAATTCTAGGCGATTTTTTAGCGCCTTTTTCAAATACCGTCACCTTATAAAGGGAACGGTTTACTTCGCTCATTGCGAAACAATGACTATTAAGGTTCAATGGGGCCCGATTGAGCCGAACAATGATACATTTTTTAATGTTATTCGCTACGCCTTAAAGGTTATTTATTCTCGAAATTCAAGTTAGTACGCGATATTTCTAAACATCTGTAGAACAATCTAAAAACTTGGTACAATTAAATTAAGTGCGGTGATAGCGAATTAAAATGTAGCACATATTCCGAGGCAATTTCCTCGTTTTGCGCCCGAAACGCCTTATTAAGTGGCTGGCAGCTGATTCATCTCTAATCTAAAAACGAAATCAGGACGAACGCACTCGTTTTGATGTGCCCTCTACGGGCAATTTCGACGTTCCGCCGCAGATATACATCTTCAGTGTGGGTTTTACGACGTTCAGATTTGAATGCTTATGCGTTTTGAATAATACGCGGTGAATTTTTTATATTTCATTAGAGACGTCGCCTTCGAAATGCCACAGCTAGATGCCTCGCTAGTCGAAGGCCACAGGCGGAACGGCTACTTTTTCTATTATCTACTGTTTAAGAATTAGATTGTGGAGCATATTTGACTCGCTGCGCGAGCTCGGTTTACAAGGACTCGATTTTGTACAGCTGTAGTGAGGATTGGGCATGTATATAGGAATGAAGCAATCAGGCGATGTAAGTAGGTATAATAAAAATTTTGAATTTTTTTGTGGAAGAAATATGTTCGATCGGCAACGTCGCGTCGCTTTCGAATCGACCGAACAGGCCGATTATTTCGATTTATACGCGAAATCGCCGTCCGCCGGAAAGAGCGGAATGAAAGAGAACGAGCGACAAAAGGAAGGCGCGTTTTCTCCTTCAATTATTCCAGAATTTGTGACATTTCAAGACGAATTATCGCCCGACACCGAGCGTGTTAACTTGGTTAGTTATTTTCTCGCCATCGCCAGCGATTCCGCACTTTAGAGCCCGATTGTCTTCGATTGACAAGCGGTCTCGCGAAAATAAGAAAACAAGAAGAAAAAAAATAGCGACCGACAAAAATGCGCGGCGCAGGTGCTGAATAGTAAAAGGAGATGATTATTTTTTTTCGTCGCGAATCGAAGCCAAATTTACAACTAAACCCTATATAGCATCATATAGGGTACAAATACAATTGTAAGAATTTTAAAATAATTTAAATATTAAGATAACGAGAATATCTTAGTTAATTATTTTAGTGTAGTTAAGACAATCGTATAAGTTATTTTTACTAATTCATCAAATGAATCAAGGACTAATGATTCATCAGCTACATTTAGACAATTGAATAACGCAATCAAACGGGCTCGCTTTGTCATCCGGTATCCGCACTTCATCTGTAAAGGTGGATACCCTTTTTTTAATAGATGTCGCCTGTCTATACGAATCGTGTATTCGATAACGATACACATTCTAGATAATGCTACCGAATTGGAATTTTCGTTCCTACACAACATACCAGGGATTTTTCTACTCCACCCGCGCGTTCTCTCCTAAAATCAATTTTTTCACTCTATTGTCCTATCGACGAGCGCGCGGAATCGCGCCTCGTATATACGTGTACGGGTAATTTCAAACAGGCATTTCCTGGGCAAAAACCGATTACTAACAATCCGAACGATCCGCGAAACGGTAACTCGCCGGACGATGTGATTGATAACCGAGAGAACGGGCACCCGGTGCTGCTGGTGTCTTTGCGAGCGGTGTCAACGACTACGGTCGCTTGATTGGTATACGACACTGGGGAGTCGTATATTGTAGACACGTAGTCGGTCTGTCACATAAAATCGCCGAGCCCGGCTCGCCGATCAAACTTCTACCGAGATATCCCTAAGTGTGTCGATGAGTTTAATACCTGTGGCTTCTATTCAAACGAATTTATATTAGTTTTCATTGTATACTACTACACAGTAACACACTGCGCGAGATGCTATTTTGGAAGCTGTAATATTTCTATCATAATTTAGTAAAACATTTCCAGTTTTCTTAAATACATACACAGTGTAATCTACTCGAGCCTCGGCACCCCCATCGAAACGGCCGATAAAGCAACAACGGCAATTGAAATACATCACGGAGCAATTTCATTGTAACTAGACAACATATGTAAGTGCCGTTCGCTCTTAAACCGTGACAATATACGCGCGTTTATCGTGGGGTGAAGGCGAATTGATACATTTAGAAGCTAAGCAGTCCAACCCCAAGCTACTATAAATAGAAACAAGTTTATTGGGATTCATAACTTCGCTCGTATCAATTTGCACTTTATTGAATCGCATGCACGATGCATTTTAAAAACCGCGGAAAAGTAAAAATAAACCGCGACATCGGATCGGAAACTTTAGTCGTAACAGAACTTCCTCGGGATATAAATGGTTGCAGCACACCAGCAATCGAACGAAATGCCCTAATGCAATTAATTATATCAGTTGACTCGGTTTGGGAAATAGAGTTATTTACGCCTCCGGAGCAGGCAATGCCGGGCGGTTACGCCGCATTTACGGCCATCGTTCGCATGCACCTCGGTAATTGCGTCTAGGAAAACTTTCCGCGTTGGCAGCAATGCATTGACAGCCGACGGATGATTAATAGAAGCGCGAGAACCGTGCGCAATGCTACACGAATGTACAGTCTAATTTATTACGACGAGCTACACTATTTACTACATAATGTCTTTGAAATCATCATACCACACGTGCAATGTGGGTTGCCTAACTTCTGAAGCCAAATGAGTAAAAGAGAGAAACTTATAAACTTATTCATGCAAAGTAGACAAAAGGGTTAGGAAAACGTTTGCTACAACTACTAAAAAACTAGCCTAAACAATTTGTGTAAAATAAATCAATAGAATGTAAAAATAAATCAGAATTCCGTGAGCATAAAAACCCGTCTGAGTCAACACGACAAAAAATAAAACGCTGGAAAACAATTTTCCCTTTTTATAGTGCAAGGTCTTTTTATCGATCATCGGCTGGAAGAGTAGCAGTTGGTGGTCATTTGACTAAATCCCGTAATGAAAGGGCATTTCGGGCATCATTACTAACCGTCGCGGTGACGTCTACTGAATTTAGATAAGGAATTAGGACGAAGGAAAAAATTCACCCTCGTCGCTCGGCGAACGGGAGGAGGGCTGAAATAACGAAAAAAAAAAAATAAAACGCACACGATCGACGTCGATTGACCTAATGTCTTCTTTTAAAATCCGATATCGATTAGATAATGCCCGGTCTCAGGCGAACTGATGTATTCATTACACAACAATGCAAAAATTACTATAAGGAAATAAGAGAGTATAGAAGAGAGTAGATTAATTGCTCTTTTATACAAACAACTAGCTTGTTTTAATTATATCGTTGTCTTAATTGGAAATCTTGTGCCAGAATGTTAACATTGCGAAATTGCACCATCCGAAATTTTCCATCAATTTGATTAAATATATACGAATCGAAAGTATAAGTGTCTCTGCCAGAATGCATTCTAGTGAAAATTCAATTTATGTTGGAAATTCTGCAATTCCTACAGTTACGCTCCATCTACCTAATTCCCGAGCCGACCAACTCGCCCTTATCCTAGCCAGCCCCGCCACGTCGTCGAGCCCTCGCCTGGGCGACTGCCATCGACCAGTATCTATCACGCGGGGAATTACTGTATTTTGGCTACTGGTCACTTGCTTGCGACATTCGCGACTCGCCCGTTTTCCCCCATCGATCACCGTTCGCTATACGCTCCGCTTCGGCTAACCTAAGATTTCCTGCCAAGGGACGATGCAAATGATGCAAATTCGATGTCTAGAACGCCGGATTCGCAGTTTCGATGCGATTTTTTTTATCCGGGGATCGAAAGGTGCTAAAGACGAGCGAGTCGTGCGAACGCTCACACCTTTTCGGCTACCAGTTTCACTCCGTTTCGCGAATAACTCGACCAAAGGCCGTCCATTATCCGATTCGGACGTGACAAGAACGCTTAAAAGAACGAGAATACCGATCTTTATTTAGGCGAAAACGCGCCACCGAGCCTTGATTGAGTGTGAGAATTCGTGTGATCGTCTCCTCGTCGAATTCAAATTTTCTTCTTCTTCTTTTTGCGCCCAAACTCAAACGGCAACTCCTCAATAAATAGATACGTTGATATAACAAAAAATATAGCGCTATTAAAATAACTTCATTTTCTCATTTGAATAACCCCAAATAATTCTTACATTAAATCCTCTTACTGTATAAACACGTTGTTGCCTTCTTCCAGGAAATTAAAATTACAGTATGTCCCATTATATAACACATTCTAAGAACCCTTTAAATTATTAACGCTTCCACCGAACCCCAGCAGCTTTTTTTCTCGACCATTTCATTACCTCCCCCACCGACTAACTTAACTGTACATACATCCCGTTTTCCCGAGACGCGGAAGAACAAACATCGCCGAAACTTTTTCCGCAATCGCCGGCAGTCGATATATCTGCAAAGAGGACGAAATAAGGAGAGAAAAGGGACTTAATTCCGAGAGCGGTGCCCCCATGTCGAGCCCGCATCGCGAACGCCGTCCGGTCAAGCGATCCGCGAACGCGCAAATAAAACTTTTCCGAACGGCGAAAAGGCCGTAAAATTTTCGATCGAGTCCGCAATTTCGACGGGAAACTGCATCGAAATCCGTCCGGGAATTTACGGCCGGCAATTACATTAACAAAGTACATCTAACGTCTACACAACATTTGGATCTAACTCAATTATCTATATACACACCAGACAATTGGTTACCTTAGATGACCTTAATAGAAAGTCAATTATCTTATACATGACCTTAGATAATCAATTATCTTACCTGACCTTTTATATATAGACCCGATTATCATAGAATACCGTAGAGCGCCAATGTGAGATAACATTCTACGACATCTCTATGAGTAAAGCGATTTGAATAATCGGCTCGAAGGTAGAGAAATTAATTTCGCTCACGGTGTATCGATGATGATAATATGGGCGCGACGACGGGTCATAACAGCCACCATATATACCAGACAGAATACGGCGGAACGCCAACGGAACTAATGCATTACGTTCCGGATCGTTCGGTCCTATTCAGAACACAATCACGCTGTCACACAGGTAATTTGTGCGTTGGAACGAGACGGGACGATCGGCTGGCCCTCTCTGATCCCGTCGCACCGCCGTCATATGGCCCGAAAATATTATACAATATTATACCTCCGCTATATAGGTAGATGTTATTAATCGACCTGTTAAGCTGTTATTGCCTCTTTAGTCTTTAGACAAAACAAATGTTTGTGGATGCAACAGCCGTGAAAATGGATGACGGTTAACGAGACGGGCACTCGGGGAGCGGAGAAAATTGATAGAAACGCCACGATCTATTCTTTGATTATATGGCGAGCGAAATAGTTTTTGGAAATTTGAAGGGAAAAAAATTGGGAGGTGGGAATTTACCGATCCATATTTCAAATTGTTTGACGCGCACGGAATAAAATGCCGTCCGGCCGGCCGAAATTCCAATGCTTCGGATATCGAAGAATCCAGTTACTCATGATCATGATGGACAGTTGATGAACGTTCAGACATCTGAAGATCTGCGACCGGGCGTTCCGTCCTCGTCCGACTCGCAGATACCGCGATGGCATCGCGACGGGTTCGGGCGAAACGGGTCCCGGCGATGGATTTACATATACAAGGCGATTCGGTGTTTCCATTCGACCGGAGAAGAATTCGGTTTTGTTCGGTGCTTGCTGTACGGTTCATTCTACATGATATACGGATTTTTAATATGCACCTAAGGGTGCAACAATGACAGCTTTGCAACAAAGAAAAAGAAGAGTTTCTGAGTCTAAACACTGATGTGATTTTGTAATCTTTCTTTGTTTAACTCTTAGAAATCATAGGACTCATAGAACTCACTCAAAGAATATTGCAAACATTCATCATATATTATTTGCACTGGCTAATATTATTTCTATTGTTGGCTTGAATTAAATCTCAAATATCAAAGTATTATCAGCAGAAATTGGTGTAATCTTAATGAAACAACAAGAAATCTCAACAAAAAACAGTGCAGAGATTCAACCAAAAAGATAAAAGTGAAATAATTAAAAAATGAATAAAAAATCCGAATGATAGGTACATCTATTAACGAAATTAGTGATGTAAATAATGGTAAAAATTAATTTTCGAATCGATAAATCGGTAACATTTAGCGGATTTTTCCGCTTTAGGATCGTCGAGCAGAAGTCGTTAAAATTTCCGCGACAATTCCAGCAAGTTTTTGTAAGACCGGCCAAGTGCTAAGATTGCTATTATACAGTTTGTCGAAAGTACGTGAATATCATGCTAAAAATGCGGCCACAGGTTTTTTCCCGAATTAAATTCGCGATTTATCGCGTTCGCGCCACACCACGAAAACGCAACAGATTATAAAATATACCTATAGTAATAGTAAAAAAGTAGGTAAAAACTTTTTTTTTAAGTGAGTTTAAATGTCGAACAAAAGCCACATATCCTGCCTACAACTGTCGACTGATCCATTAAAAAAAATCACTCTGCCTACACCTATGTCCTGCATTTAACAGTTTTATCGGCGGTTCGATCTAAATTTGTGTCAAAAGCATTTAGGCTCATTGTTACCGAACTTACACATGTTGAAATTGTAATAGATGCGATAAAATAAAATAGATGGATCCGACAAAAAAGTGCCCTTTATTCTTGCCACTCCAAGCGCGAAC